AATGACAAAAACCATACGATTATGTCAATAGATGTAGAAAAGGCCTTTGATAAAATTCAACACCCCTTCATGCTAAAAAAAACCCTTAATAAATTAGGTACTGATGGAACATATCTCAAAATAATAAGAACTATTTATGTCAAACCCATAGCCAATATCATACTGAATGGGCCAAAGCTGGAAGCATTCCCTTTGAAAACTGGCACAAGACAAGGATGCCCTCTCTCATCACCCCTATTCACATAGTACTGCAAGTTCTGGCCAGAGTAATCAGGCAAAAGAAAGAAATACAGGGTATTCAAATAGGAAGAGAGGAAGTAAAACATTGTCTCAGCCCAAAAACTCCTTAAGGTGATAAACAACTTCAGCCAAGTTTCAGGATACAAAATCAATGTGCAAAAATCACAGGCATTCCTATACACCAATAATAGACAAGCAGAGAGGCAAATCATCAGTGAACTCCCATTCACAATTGCTACAAAGAAAATAAAATACCTAGGAATATAACTTAAAAGAGTCATGAAGGATCTCTTCAAGGAGAGCTACAAACCACTGCTCCAGGAAATAAGGACACAAACAAATGGAAAAAAAAATTCCATCCTCATGGAGAGGAAAAATCAGTATTGTGAAAATGACCATACTGCCCAAAGTAATTTATAGATTCAATGCTATTCTCATCAAGCTACTATTGACTTTCTACACAGAAGAAGAAAAAAACTACTTTAAATTTCATATGGAACCAAAAAAGAGTCTGTATAGTCAAGGCAATCCTCAGAACAAAGCCGGAGGCATCATGCTACTTGGCTTCAAGCTATACTACAAGGCTATGGTAACCAAAACAGCATGGTACTGGTACCAAAACAGATATACAGACCAATGGAACAGAACAGAGGCCTCAGAAATAACACCACACATCTACAATTATCTGATCTTCGGCAAACCTGACAAAAGCAATGGGGAAAGGATTCCCTATTTAATCAATGATGTTGGGAAAACTGGCTAGCCATATGCAGAAAACAGAAACTGGACCCCTTCCTTACACCTTATGCAAAAATTAACTCAACATGGATTAAAGACTTAAACATAAAACCTGAAACGATAAAAACCCTAGAAGAAAACCTAGGCAATATCATTTAAAACATAGGCATGGGCAAAGGCTTTATGGTTAAAACACCAAAAGCACTTGCAACAAAAGCCAAAATTGACAAATGGTCTAATTAAACTAAAGAGCTTCTGCAAATCAAAAGAAACTGATCATCAGAGTGAACAGGCAACCTATAGAATGGGAGAAAATTTTTGCAATTTATCCATCTGACAAAGGTCTAATATCCAGAATCTACAAAGAACATAAACAAATTTACAAGAAAAAACCCCATCAAAAAGTGGGTGAAGAATATGAACAGACACTTCTCAAAAGATGACATTTATGTGGCCAACAAACATATGAAAAAAAGTTCATCATCAGTAGTCATTAGAGAAATGCACATCAAAACCACAATGAGATAGCATCTCACTCCAGTCAGAATTGTGATCATTAAAAAGTCTGGAAACAACAGATGCTGGTGCGGAAGCAGAGAAACAGGAACGCTTTTACATTGTTGTGGGAGTGTAAATTAGTTCAACCATTGTGGAAGACAGTGTGGTGATTCTTCAAGGACCTAGAACTAGAAATACCATTTGACCCAGCAATCCCATTACTGGGTTTATACCCAAAGGATTATAAATCATTCTACTATGAAGACACATGTGCACGTATACGTTTACTGCAGCACTGTTTACAATAGCAAAGACTAGGAACTAACCCAAATGCCCATCAATGACAGACTGGATAAAGAAAATGTGGCACATATACACCACAGAATACTATGCAGCCATAAAAAAGAATGAGTTCATGTCCTTTACAGGGTCATGGATGAAGCTGGAAGCCATCATCCTCAGCAAACTAACACAGAAACAGAAAACCAAATACCACATGTTCTCACTTATAAGTGGGAGTTGAACAATGAGAACCCATGGATACAGGGAGGGGAACATCACACACTGGGGCCTGATGGGGGGGGTGGTGAGGGGGGAAAAGGGAGGGAGACCATTAGGACAAATACCTAATGCATGCAGGGCTTAAAATCCAGATGAGGCCGGGCGCGGTGGCTCAAGCCTGTAATCCCAGCACTTTGGGAGGCCGAGGCGGGTGGATCACGAGGTCAAGAGATCGAGACCATCCTGGCCAACATGGTGAAACCCCGTCTCTACTAAAACTACAAAAAATTAGCTGGGCATGGTGGTGTGTGCCTGTAATCCCAGCTACTCAGGAGGCTGAGGCAGGAGAATTGCCTGAACCCAGGAGGCGGGGGTTGCGGTGAGTCGAGATCGCGCCATTGCACTCCAGCCTGGGTAACATGAGTGAAACTCCGTCTCAAAAAAAGAAAAAAAAAAAAAAATCTAGATGACAGGGTGACAGGTGCAGCAAAGCCCCATGGCACATGTACACCTATGTAACGAACCTGCATGTTCAGAACATGTATTTCAGAACTTCAAGTTAAAAAAAAAAAAAAAAAGACACTACATGTTAATCCTTGGTACCAATGAATGTGACCTTATTTGGAAACAGGGTCTTTGTAGATGTAATCAAGTTAAGATGAGGTCATGTTTGATTATGGTTGGTCCTGAATCCAATGATTGGTATCCTTTCATGGTGACAAAGATTTGAAGCCAGTGACAGAAGAGAGAGACAGGGAAAGTCACCTGAAGACAAATGCAGATACTAAAAGTAAAATATCAGACACTGGAGCTACAAGCCAAAGAACACCAAGGATTGTGGGCAGCTGCCACAGGCTGGAGGAGGCAAGGAAGGATTTCTCCCTACAATCTTCAGAGAGAAAGACCCTTCAAAGGGAGGTAACACCTGTAGTTCAGACTTCTGGCCTCCTAAGCTGTGAGAGAATAAGTTTGCTTTAAACCATTCAGTTTATGGTACTTTGTTGCAGCAGCCCAGGGAAACTCACACAGAGGGTAAAAACATAAGAAACTAACAAAGTTAATATGGTCTTCCTAGTTCTCCAATCTTTTGGACAAATCTGTATTATTCACTGTTGGCTTTTCTTCTATCCCTTCCCAAACCTGAATATAGTTTCCCCAAGGATCAGTCCCTTGGTTTTGGCTCTTCTGTTTTCTCCTATTGAGACTAAATTTGCCACTACCAGTAGAAAAGTCCCAAGCTGGTAGTCTCACTAATCTTGTCTTTTCTACTGCTTTTGGCATGACACTGCTTGATCATCATTCAAGCACAATTTACACAGAATTGACCTTGATGATTTACTCTCAAAACTGGATTCTGACCACCTTCCACTGATTTTCATACTGCAGTAACTGCATTGAATAGATTCGTATGATTGCCACTATTTTCTACAGTACTAAGGAAGAAAAAAGCAACTGTAAAAGATTTCCAAGTGTAAGACATTAGCTGGATTCAGAAATAACAAAATATGAAAATTTGTGACTTCGAATCAATGGACTATAATAAAGTGTTACCACTATTTCCTACTCATCAGAGTACTCTGACTGCTCCTGTTCTTTCAATACACATATTCAGTATCATCAGGTACTGAGTCTTTCTTTACAAAGTCTTGTAACATCTGTTTTCTTTCACATGGTTTGACTCTTCACACCAAGTTAACTGTACTGCAACTGGTCTTTGAGATTGTCTCCATACAACCAAACTCACTGCATGTCAATACCAATTTTCCTAAAATATCTGCATATGTTTTTCTTTTTTAATTCCTTTAATGTGGACTCCTAGTTACTAGCTACCACTAAGATAAAATCCAAGCTTTCTTGGTGTACTTGTGGCAGATACTGCTAGTTGCATATTCAATATCCATTCTGCTCTAATTTTGTTCAAGGCATTTATGTATCCAACTAATACACATTATCTTCCCAGATTTCCTTGCAGTTAGGAAAGACTATGGGACACAGACCAGCAGAAGTTTTTTAGGAATTTCTGAGAACATAGGTGCTTTCTTTATAAAAGCATTGTCCCTTTCTAGAATACAAAGCTGAAGATAAAGTGAGCATCTTATGGATGAAACCAACAAACTGAAGATGGCACATTATAAATATACAAGTCGACTAGGCCACTGATTACACTGACGATTCACTGTACCAGCCCTGGACTGTTATTTCTCAATACTTTACGTGATAAAAATAAGACCATGCTATGGTTTAAGTTACTGTAGGAGGGATTCTGTTACCTGTACTTAAATGCAACCCTTACTGAAACTAGGATTCAAGGCTCTTCACAGCCTGCGCTCAACTACTCCTTTTTATCTTACCTCCCACTATTTCTTGCACTTTCAGGCATCTGTGCTTATTTACATAATTTTGCACTGAATTCACTGTTTACCAAACACAATACTCTTCCATACCTGTGTTTGCATACATGCTCTGTGCTTTTATGTTTTCACAGAAATGACATTCCCTCACTTGGGTAAACTTACTTATTGCATAAGACTCATCTCAAATATATAGTGTTAACTTGCTCTTTTCTTTGTTGCAACCGTACTACTTTGTTCACACCCCAGCACTTTAAATAGTTCACTGTAATCATTTACTTACATATCTGCTTCCCCAATTAGATGATCAATCTCTTAATTGCAGGGACTATGTGTTTTTCTTTATGTATCATCAATGTTTGCTTGGCACATGGTAAGTTTTCAATACACATTTTAATTAAGAATAAAACACAAACTGGATTTAACTGAGTTTTTTGTGTATGTGTATTTGCCTTTGTCCCAACAGATATTATTCAATTATTTCTATCTTCACCAATGTGCAACTTGTAAAAAATAAGCGATAGTGCTAATGGCATCTTAAATAAATCCAGTCATCATTTTTAACTCTTCTTTATATTTCCTATATGACCAAGCACAAAACTTATCTACCAGGAACTTAAAAATGTTTGAATTGACTTTACAGCACCATGAAAAACACAGAAGACATTATACCTATAGAGGAAGACTGTGGACTAATCAGAAGGTCCTCTTGGACTTGTTCACTTCCTGGAACTGTCTGCTGATCACTCAGGGAACTCTGAGATGCACTGACAGGCTGGGACACTTCCTCATGGACTTCCTCGTCACTTAACCTTTCTACTTTGACCCGGACATCTTCTTCGGAACCTAAGGGCAAGGTAGTTTTTGTGCTCTCACAAGTCACATAATCAGTCATTCTTCTACCAGTTTCAGACGGGCCAGGTAATTCTAAAGTCCGGGTATTTTCTCCTTGCTTAACTTTCTCAGGCTGAATCCTTCGATCAATTCCAAAAGGAAAAGTCCAGGGAAAAGCTAAGGAAGAGTCAACTGGTTGGTTTCTATTTTCTGAGTAGGAAGCTGAAGAATTCAGTACCTGGGGTGAACTTGTTTGTGTGCTACACTTTACAGGACTCTCAGGAGACATAACAATGTAGCTTTTGCGCTTTCTCCGGGATTCTCGGCAGACAGGAATCGTTCTTTCTACCACACTGCACTCTGAGGACACGGGAGAAATGCTCCCATCTCGAGAAGTAAAATTGCAGTTAGAATTATTTTCTTGCCCAGCATCTAGACCCTTTTCAGGTTGGCTGTTGGGTGTATTCCATAAAATGCTTGATTTCATGAACTCTGAGCAGGTGCTGGCAACACTGAACATTTGCATATAGCTGGCTGCTGCTAGAACATCAATAATATTTTCTGTGTTAATCGATAGAGTGGCTGTGTAAGCATATTCTAAAAGGGGTATAAAGCCAGTCACTGTAACATGATGCAGATCCAACACATTCTTGTTCTCATCCTCGGCTTGGCCTACAAGTTTGGTGCGAAAGAAATCACTGCAAGCTGCTAGTACCACCTTATGTGCCCGGAAGATTTTGTCCTGGACACGAATAGTGATATCACAAAAATGTCCATCATTTCGCAGCATATTTAGCTTTCCAAGCATTTCCTGGCTGTGGGAAGAGGAGCTATGAGTAAATGTTTTCACACCCATCTTTTACTTCCTCTTCTACAGATGCTCTTCAAGGATGCAAATGAATCAGAAATATCCTAAAAAATACATAAAATAAATCATTAATTGATATTTTAGTAGTTTAAATGTGATTTAGATCATTTTCTTGTGGACACTGTACTAAATTAAAAGGCTGAAAGATTATGAGAGAAACTTCAAGATAGGGACTGTACAGAAATATATTCTCCCTATCTGCCTTCCAAACGGTTCAATCAGTGAAGTCTGTGAACCAACGTTTTAATAAGCTGCAGTGCTGCAACAGTTTGTAAATAATGACAATTGTAGAGTGTCTTCTATGTGCCAGACAGTATTTGTAACGCTTCACATTGAATAATTAGTTGATCATCATCGTATCTGTCAGTAGGCATATTATTATTCCTGTTTCTAAATGTGAGCATGCAGCAGGCAATGCCAGTGTAAACACTAAACAATCCATTACATAATCATCCCTGTGACTGTTTTATGCAGGTAAATGTATAGAGAAAAAGAAAGATGAGAAAAAGAAAAAAATGAAGTGGAAAGAAAAAAACCCAAACGATTTCAAGATGAATTTAAAAAGATTTCCAGGCATGGTGGCTCACACCTGTAATCCCAGCACTTTCGGAGGCCAACGCAGGCAGATTGCTTGAGCTCAGGAGTCTGAGATTACCCTGGCCAACATGGCGAAGCCCTGTCTCTACTAAAAACATACCAAAATTAGCTGGGTATGGTGGCATGGGCTTATATTCCCAGCTATTTGGGATGTTGATGTGGAAGGATCACTTGAGCCTGGGAAGCAGAGGTTGCAGTGAGCTGAGATTGCGCTAGTGCACTCCAAGCCTTGGTGACAGAGTGAGACCCTATCTAAAACAAACAAACAAAAAGTACAGACTCTTCTAACTTGAGAAGACACAATGATCAATTTGGAACTGTTCCATGTCAGACTTCACAAAAGGATAAGGCATAAATCTGTTTCAAAGCAGCCAGGTAAAGCTACTGAAATAATTATCTTGACCATAATTACTGACAGAAGTTCAAATGCAAACTGAGTGCTCCACATACCCTTCCCTAAAGACAACTGACCACAATGAGACACTAGACAGCCAGGGACTGGTCTATGCAAACCATCATTTAATGTATTTGCTGATTTAGGTCTCACAAAAATGAGATGAAGAGGAAGAAAACGGGAGGGCTATATATAAAGTGTTTTGTTCATTTATTGCATCCCAAGAAACTAGCTTCTGCTTTTAAAGCATGGCCTTCAAGAGTGCTTACTTTGGGAGCATGTGGTTGAATAAAGAAACATGCTTTCAGAGCAAGTGAATTAGTTATAATCCAGGGACCATCTGCATGAACAAAGGTGTGAAGGCAAGAAATTAAAAAGCATATTTGGAAAACATGTGCATCACAGTATTAAAATGAAACTATTTCAATTTTGAATAGGTCCCAAACAATAGATAATGTACTACATTGTCAAGTGAGGCACAAGGGCACCTTACACAAGGGGGTAGTGGAAAACTATTTTCAACCTGAGTTACATCCACCTTCAATCATCTTCCATGTTCAAAGAGTAGATATGAAAATGACTTTTGCTGAGATTAATCAGTTTGTTGTGAGTTGGAAACCCTATTCTACTTCCCTGCTTATTTCCCTGTAGGGAAAGGGGCTTCAAGGCATGTTGATCCTTTATTTCTGGTCTATGGAAAATATGTTACACTTGAAAAAACTCTAAAGGACACATGAGTCTGATTTAAACAACAGCCAAGGCCAAGGAGTATGCCTACTATCTCCCAACATATATAAAAGCAACATAGTGGAGTGGTTTAGAGTACAGACTCTGGAGCCAGAATGCTGACTCTGCATGCTGGTTCTGCTATTTTTACCTGTGTGACCTTAGGCAAGTCATTAAACAAACCCTCTGTATCTTAATATATTCAGCAGTATAATAAAGATAACACAACACACCTAATAGAGTTCTGAGGATTAAATGATGTAATACATGTTAAGTGTTTAGAATGGTAACTAACAACATAATCCAATGCTACAGAAACGTTAGTTGCTGCTGCTACTCATATTACCATTAAAGACCTTTTCTTCCTGGAAGGGCCAGAAACCACACCAGCAAATGAAGAGGAGTGAAAGAGGAAAGTTGGGGAAGACAGAAAGAAAAAGGAGGCAAACCAAACCTGACTCTTCAACTGTAGGCATGTAGTAGGCCTGAACTGGGAAAGGAAAGAAATCTTTCACCTAACATTATTAGCTCTTGAAAAGATTGTTAGTATTTCCTGAAAGTGATCAGAACAGTTATTAAGACTTGCTCTCCAGGGACCTGGAGGAAGAGCTACCACCACAGAATAAAATGGCTCACGAGTACCTCCTGTAATGCACAGTACAAAGTCTGATAGAAGTATGGGATGAGAGAGGAAGGAGATGATGAGGAAATGCAGTTCAGAAACCACAAAGTATAACCTCAAGTTTTACAAGTTAGATAAGTCTCTTTAAAAAAAACTCTCGTTGGGAGTGGTAGCTCATACCTGTAATCCCAGCACTTTGGGAGGCTAAGGTGGGTGGATAACCAAGGTCAGAAGTTTGAGATCAGCCTGGCTAACATGGTTAAACCCCATCTCTACTAAAAATACAAAATTAGCTGGGCGTGATGTGATGGTGCACACCTGTAATCCTACCTACTCGGGAGGCTGAGGCAGAAAAATCACTTGAACCCGGGAGGGAGAGGTTGCAGTGAGCCGAGATCATGCCATTGCACTCCAGCCTGGGCAAAAAGAGCAAAACTTCACTAAAAAAAAATTTTTTTTTAATTTATCTCTGTGTGTAGATGAATATGTTTATGCATAGTTACATGTTTAATTTGATGCTCATTTAAAATTTTTAAGTAAAGATCAGTATTAATTACAATTACTAATTTGGATTTTGAGTATCGTTTACAAATAATAAAAATGTACACGTAGCCGGGCGCAGTGCCTCACGCCTGTAATCCCAGCACTTTGGGAGGCCAAGGTGGGCGGATCATGAGGTCAAGAGATCGAGACCATCCTGGCCAACATGGTGAAACCCCGTCTCTACTAAAAATACAAAGGGTGTGGTGGCGCACGCCTGTAGTCCCAGCTACTTGGGAGGCCCAGGCAGGAGAACTGCTTGAACCCAGGAGGTGGAGGTTGCAGTGAGCCGAGATCGCGCCACTGCACTCCAGCCTGGCTTCTGGCCACAGAGCAAGACTCTGCCTCAAAAAAAAAAAAAAAAAAGTACGTGTAGCAGTTTGCAATTTGAACTATTTAATAATTCAGAAAGTTTACTTCCCACCCATTTTATTCCAAATTACTGATGAAACATTGCTTTCAGACATTCATATGAAAGAGGTATGTTGCTAAACAACATATAATTTAAGGGAATGCAAAAAAAAATCTACAATTTTTTTTTTACAGTTAGATTGGAAAATTTTGCCAAATAAGGTATATAACCTAGTTGATAAAGTAGAACGGCTTAAGTTAGACACATCTTAGGTTTTAAATTTTCACTTCCCCATTTATCAGCCAGGCATTAATTCTAAGTCAAGTTGTTCACCTATCTAATGATGCTTCTGTTTTTTTCTCATCTGAAAAATGGGAATCATAGAAATTATACTTCAAAGATAGTCAAGAGGATCAAATTAGCACAATTCCTGGCATTAAGCAAGCATTCAATAAATTTTGTAAGCTATTTATTCACACTAGAAAAAGTGTGAACAAAAATTAAATGGAGATCAAATTTTTAAATGTCTACTCTTTCTCACAGCATATTCTGAAATCTATATTTTGATATATAGATTAGCTGATAAAAATTATCAGAAGATTTGAGATTAAAACAAAGTAGCTCTTAGCATTTAAAGTGAGGTGGCTGTCTAACATGATTAGAGAAAGTAATGAGGCTGTGAACCTTGAAAGTAATTTTAGTTAGATGAGAAAATATATTTAAAAGAATGTGCCTATTTATGCAGCCACATCTCAAAATTGGAGGCTAACTTTCAAAAGATACTAAACCAGGGTTTTTGTTTGTTTGTTTGTTTTGAGACAAAGACTCACTCTGATGCCAGGTTGGAGTACAGTGGCACAATCCTCACTGCAACCTCCGCCTCTCAGGTTCAAGTGATTCTCCTGCCTCAGCCTCCCAAGTAGCTGGGACTACAGGCATGTACCACCATGCCCAGTTAATTTTTGTATTTTTAGTAGACACAGGGTTTCACCATGTTGGCGAAGATGGTTTTGATCTCTTGACCTTGTGATCCGCTGGCCTCGGCCTCCCAAAGTGCCAGGATCATAGGCGTGAGCGTAGTTAAACCCAGGCCTGATAATAACCAGGTTTTAACTATGCTAAAACTAAACTGAGATCACTCAATTACAGCTTATATTCTAATTAAAACCAATCAAGGACAGAAAAGGTTAAGGAGAGGGGCATATGGATTTAAGATGCCTGTAAAGGAATAATCGAGGTGGAAATTTATACATAAACTTGTCTGTACTGGCTAATTATCTACTATGTACCAGATATAACACTAGGGGCTTTAGATTCGTTCTTACATGAGGGTAGATGATAATACCCTGATTTTACGGATGAGGAAACCGGGGCTCAGAAAATTATTTAGTTCAAGACCACTTAACGTTTATACTAACCTTCAGACCTACAATCTCCTTCAATAAGTATGGGTAGCCACATGGGAGTAGAAGAATCCTATCTGCATTTGAAAAAGATTGTCTTGGTGGCAGCAGTGAGGATAAAGAAAATGCATCTGAGAAATATTTACGATGGAAAACCACCTGGGTATGATTTTGTATTAAGGCTGGGTGGAACAGTAGCTAGAAGAGGAAAGTTAGATGGTTATATCTCTAACTTTGTTTTCATCAAACAAGATGAAAGAAGAGCTGGTTTTGATAGGGGCTGGTGAAGAGGGAAAGAAATGTTTCAATTTTGGATATACTGAGTTTAAAATTCCTGAGAAGAATATCCACACATAAACTTTTACATGAAATTGCCCACTCTGCCCTGCAGTTCAGGGAAAAAGTCACTG